ATATATATATATATAATATGACAGGTCTTCTGTACCAGTAACGTGACTGAATGGGTGCAATGAAATTAAATGCAGTGGATTATTAAAAAAAATAAATTAGATTTTTGACTACATTTCATCTCATATTTTTATTGTCAACAATAACGCGCTGTTTATTCATATCATGAGCATGAATCCATACTTTTCACTCACGTTACTAGGACCCGTCAAGTTTCTGTTTGTATCAAGCTGTAGGCAATGAACAGATTTTGTCCTTACTTTTGTTTGATGAAATGAACACGGCTTAACTGCCTTGAAAATTATATATGATACAGGAAGATGACATACAGGTTGTCAAGATAAGATAAGTTTTAGACCAAATGCATTATAAAATTAAACATGTACTGAGAAAATGGCTTAAGGAACCTGAGAGGGCAACATTTCTTGTCAATTTCTTAATTGCATATGCTAAATAAAAATATAATATACACAAGGTGCATCCCAAATCACATACTTATGCACTATTCTACGCCATTTTGTAGTATAAATAGTGTAAGTAGTGCGTTCACACTGAAAACTCTAAAAATATTAAGTGCACTTTAATTACACGGACGATGCACTCATTTAACTAGTGAAATGAAGTGTGGAATGGACACTTAATGCACTCAACGCCCGCAGTTTTGCTCACGTAGCGAAAGGGGCAGAGCTTTCGAGTGCACATGTTGGATTACTTTATTTATTTTGGATTGTGAAAGCTAAATTCTCCTATGAGAATGATTATAGTGCCTTCAATGGTGAATGCGGGTTTACTCATGGCAGGTATTATTTGGTAGTTTGGTCATTTATTTCACTGATTTGGCGACCATCAAACATCATCAGTAAAACAGTTTGAATTTCTGCTTAGTAAAAAAAAATTGTGTTCCATTTCATACTATGCTGTTGAGTGAGTGAGTGCTTAAGTACATAGCGTATAAGTGCATGGTGTGCCATTTGGGACGCTGGAACAGTTTATGCATTAGCAAAATAAATTAGCAAGGTTAGCAAAATACAAGCTAAAATATAACATATTGTCAATTATACAGTCAAGCAATAAACTTCATAATCCAGCTAAAATAGTGAAAAGCTTATGATTATTTTTTGTGTTTGTGTTGTATACATACGCTGTTCTGGTGCAGACCAGGTGTTGTCAGCAGAATTATAAGGATCCTGACCATAATTCACAGTATCTGAAGGGTTAGGATACTGGCTGTAGGTGTAATCTGCTGGAAGAGTGGTGCCAGTGGCATCGTAGGCTGCGCTGACCAAGTCTGGTTGACTCCTGTAAACCTGACTCTGCAGAAGGAAGAAGATCCTGTTATGAACATTATGCAGATTTGTTTGTTTTTTACTGCCACATCAGCAACTTATGGCTATTTCATGGGAACATTAACATCGATAAAAACATTTCGCATAACAATAAGAACTTCAATATTCAATGAGATATGATAAAAAAATAAAATAAAACATTTACCATTAAACAAAAATTCGATATGATTTTTTCAGTTCAAAATATAATCAATAACTTACTTTTTTTTTTCTGGGCATACATTTTTAAAAACCATCCATCAACATACAGTACAGAAATCTTATCTAGTAGTCTATAAAATTTCACATTCTATTAAAATATGCTTTATGCTGAGGGAGGCTTAATGTTGGTGGTGCATCATTCCTAGAGTCATTCCTAGAGTTAACCAATCTAGTATAAACAGTTTGGTCATGCCTGGTCTCAGATTAAATTTAGGGAGTATACTTTCATATATAACTCATTATTAGTACAGTTTTCCCATCCCACTTGCCATTTTTCGCATATATACTAAAGAATTTTAGGTTTCAGATAGGAATTAAACGTTCTGTCAATTAACATTACGCAGATAAATCCACTAAATCACATACATACATACACACACCTGTTGTGACCGTGAGCTGAAGCTACTACGTCGACTGTGTGATGAATGCACACTGTGTGCTGATTGTTCACTGTGAACCGAACGCCGGTCAAAATCATCAGCATATGGGTCACGTCTCCGAGAGTCATCGTCAAAGCTGGAGTCATAACCAGGGTAATATCGCCATGGATCGTCATACCCTTCCCTTCCCCTAGTGACGATTACCAAGAAAAGTGTTCATATGCAAAAACTAAAAGTATTAATAATAATAAAAGATGAATTGCATGAGTGCCTGCGAGTACCTGTTTTGATATTGTTGGTTGTAATACGCCTGTCCTCCTCTGTAACCATCTTGGTTATAATACCATCCATACATTTGATCATAGTATGCTTTGTAGCGTGGATCATAAGCAGCATTGGGATCATACCACCTGCTCCTATCTAAATACACACAAACACCCACAAAATAAGCAAAAGAATATAGAATACATAGAAGGCAGAGATTTGTAGCACTTAAGAGTCTTTACCTCCATAGGCATCGTATTGTCTCTTATAGTAGTTTGCATAGTATTCGTCATAGGCACTACGGCTGGATCTTGAAAAGTCTTCTTGATACCCCTGTCTAAGATTAGAGGAAAAAACTAAAACATTGGTTTCAGAGTAATTTTAGACAAGTGCACACTACCAAAAATCACTAAATGGCATACAGTTCAAGTGCTGTATTAAAAAGCCTTTCTGTGAATATAATGTTTTTGCAGAAAATCAATAATCCTACTTATGATAAACAGCTAGTAAGCACTGGTATGCAAGCATAGCGATGGTATCGACTGATTAAATTCTCCATTCGTGATAAGAACAATGTAATCAGCAACGTCAGGGGAATAGTACAGAAATTTGCTCTCAAATCAAACCAAGAAATCAAAGTGTAAAAACAAAAATCTGACAAAAATCTCAAATCATTAGAAAGTGAGTGAATGTGGAACAAGCCCTCACCTTGAGCTGGGCCTGTCAGAGTATTGACTGGTTCTAGAGCTTGGCCTCTCTGGTTGGCGTTCAGCCTCCCGATAGCCAGGATTCTGTCCATCATACCATCCGTATCGAGGATCGCCTCTACGGTAGGGATCATCCTACAAAAAAACAAACAAACATGTTGATACAAAATGTGGTAGGAATTGAATTCTTTATATGGAAATGTACTGATCATTACATCATGCACCTGATAATAATTTTGAGTTCTGGGATCCACAGGATACTGCGGTGGGTATGGTACTCTTCCATCCTGGTACTCCGGGTAGGCTCCTGGGTAGTACCCTGGGTAACCTGGACCAGGGGGCATGGCAGGAGGAACCCCATAACCTGATTGACTACCTAGAGATGAAGGAGGCCTTTGAGGTTCTTGAGGTGGTTGGGTGGTAGAGTTTCCAGATTGGGGTGGGTAAGGAGGTGGTTGGGCAGATCCAGGTCCAGTAGGAGGGGCGCCAGGATGTGTTGGAGGGGCCTGTGGAGGAGGCTGGTTTTGAGCTGGAGGTGGAGGAGGATGGGAGTTCAGAGTCTGATTATTGTCAAGTTGGTTGCTAGAGGGTAATGGGGGGTTGGAGTTCTGCTGATGGGACAGAGAATCAGTGTCAGACTGTCCCCCTTGCTGTGCATCTTTGGTGACCTGCAGGTAAAAGCCAGGTGTGTTATTCACCAAGCCTGCAGGATGGGTTGATTGAGAGACAGCTGGGACTGATGTGACCTGATTTGTAGACTGTGGCTGATGCATAGAAAAATCAAGCAGCTGATAATTTGAAGGTTGGTTGTGATTGGTGGAGGCAGCTGAAGAAGGCGGAGCTTGAGTAGCAGAAGGCGGAAGAAATTGGCTATCACCTTTAAGAGACTGGGCCCTTGAGAGGTTTGGTCGGGCTGCCTGACCATCGTTGGCCTCTCGCGTTAGATTCAAGACACCTTGAGCTGAGGAAGAACTGAAGTTTACTGGTGTCTGAGAAAAAAGAAGTGGTGGCTGATTTGTTGGAGGAGAATTCTGAGGCATTTGATTGGTCAATGAAGATTGAGGATGTGGGTGAACAGGTGCTGCTGTCTCTTGAGGACTTGGCAGAATTGATGGTTGTAAGAGATTTTGGGATGAAATCAAACTGTAATTAGAGGAAGGTGGCGCAATCAAGACGGGCTGGTTCAGAGCCTCTTCTGGAGGTGAGGTCACAAGCAAGGAGGCATATCCCAGACTTGCCTGAGGTGTAGAGTCTGGAGGAATCTCAAGGTTTTCAGAGGGAGGTTGTGGATCTGGCCTAGCTGGATGCAGATCAAGTGGCCCATCTTCTGGTGGCTGAATTACTTCAGATGGATGTGCTGGAACAAATGTTGCAGTCAGAGACGGTGCTGCAGGGGCTAACAGTATGTTAGCACTTAGACTGGCAGTGTCATTTTGAGCCCAGAGTGCAGTTGCAGGACTTTCGATGGGGCGTCGTGCCCCCTGAGCTCGAGATGAGGGTCGGCGTTCTGATAAGTAAATAGTCTCCAAGTTATCTGGAGGATGCTCTAAATTGCCAGGCTGCATGTCACGTCCACCCTTTTCCATGACCACACGTGCACGATCAACTTCAGCAGGTCGAACTCCTACACCATGTGAACGAACAGGCTCAAATGAGGAATTTGCACTTGCCTGGAACACACCAACTGGTTTAGGTGGACTAGGAGTTGGGAAAGTAGGACTTGCCTCTGCAGCTGGGTTAGAGTCTATTTGTTCAAAGTATCCACCAGTTGAGGGATGCAGTGGAGGGTGATCAGGTGGACGAGGACTCTCCTGTTGGATAAATGTTCCCACTACTTGTTGTCTACGAGGGACATGACCCCCACTGTGAGCACCGTGTCCACTACTGTGACTGACATTACTGTAGCTGGATGAGACACTTGCAGAGCGGGCAAGGCGAGGAGCAGAGTCTGGTGTCTCCAAGTTAGGTCCCCCCTCAAAGGCATGACTTGGAGGTGGCTCACTAGGCAGAACTTCCTGGTTTGGAACACATTCCAGATTCTCCACTGAATCACTTGGTCCTGTCCCAGCTCGTATGTTACCACTGTCATTCAAATAGGGACCAGAGAATTCTGTTGTTGAATGGAGAGGTTGATGAATTCCATTTACACGCCCCTCCCCTGTTAGAGTTTCTTCATTTTCAACATCATTTCCCCCAAAAAACATTGACAGAGTTCCTGAGTCACTAGGGACTTCAGAGTAGGGGACATGGTAGGCACGCTGAGATGGATCCTGTGGGTTCTGATTGAACCATGGCTCAGAGGGTCCGCCTGACTGACTGAAATAGTTATGAGCAGGGAAGTGGGAGTTCTGTTGATAAGTTGCAGCAGGGCCACTAACATTTGGTTGAGCTGACTGAAATTGATTTTGAGATTGTGTCAAAGGTGGGGCTGTGAGAGGAGAAGTTAAAGGGGGTGGGGCTGTAAGGGGAGAAGGTACAGGAGGTGGGGCTGTAAGAGGAGAGGGTCCAGGGTGTGGGGCTTGAGCTTGGAAAGGCTGAGATGGGAGATCACTAGTTGGCTGAAAGTAGTTTTGAACAGAAGGTGGTCTGCTTCCATGTTCAGGCACCCAGTGTGAAGGTAAGGGAGGGGTTGGCTGGGAATGAAAAGGAGCCTGGGACTGAACTGGAGGTGTTGGGGTAGTGGAGGGAGGATGTGATGTACTAGGAATTAAAGGAGGAGCAGGGTTAGGCAATTGTGCAATATAGGGGATTGGTTCTTGGGAACTGAAGTATCCTGCTTCTGCAGGAGGAGGGATAGAGCTTGATCCAGGCCGTGATGGAACGGGCTGTGGTGTAAAAATTCTTGGTGGTGGGCCAGGTGAGGCTGCCTGTGCGGGTCCTGGTGGTGGCCCTTGTGGTGGAGCTGTTGGGTTGAACCCTGGCAGGGGAGGACTTTGCATAGGAAGTGGGTTGCTGTTTGTGGGTGGAGCTTGGCTGCTCCCTGCCATAGATGAAAAATTTTGTCTCCCAAAGGCAAAAGGATCAGTCACTGGCATTGTGGAAGGGGCAGCCGGTGTCATAGCAGACGCCGCCCCATGTTTATGGGGTCTGTTTCTTCTGAATGAATTGGGGCCTCCAGAAGGAGGTGGAGGTCCACTTGCTCCAGGAGGAGTTGTTCGAGGAGGGGGCTGCATTATGTACACTCACAGGTCTCCACAATGTGTATACTAACTGGCAGTCTCCCTATAGAAGTGAAAAACAGATGCATGTCATTTATCAGTAGAAATTATGCATTTGGAAACTTATCAATTTGATAAGTTTGACAATTATCAACATGCACCCCGAGAGTAAAATCATGTGCTGTGAGGGTGTCAGCACAGGGGCCACCTCAATAAAATAACAAAACTAGCCCACAAAACAAAACACCTCACCAAATCATTAAACAAAGAAATGGTTTTACACAGCATGAGTAAAATGATTAATTGTGTAAATGGCATCAATAAGTTTCTCCTTCTGTACACAAAGATCATCACACCATATAATATTCATAACCCTTATGATGAGCAGGTTTGAAGACAGCACTACTCTACTATGTTGGCACATGAACAGTCACCATGATAGAAACCTGACCACAAGCACACAGTGGGCAGGGTGCAAGAAATGTGCATTAAGTTACATTGAACTTTGAAACCTGTCTGAGATTTTTCTTAAGCAGGGGGCCTCTGCAAGTGCATACTTTAATCTACTACCACAGGGAACAAAAATGTCTCTGTTATGAAATTGCAGCATTTATTTACATTTTTTCATAAAAAAATGTAAATGATTCCTGAAGAATGACAACATGTCATGCAATTTGTTATAGAGGTAAAGTTGGTTTTCAGATCCGCACATTCATTCAATGTCAACTTGTGACATGTTCCCTATAGTGTTTACTATGGTACTTTGAATATTCGGTTTAAAATCAGATGCAAGTGTGACTTCAAACAACATCAGCACTATTTAGTTTACTATGAACAATGTTATACTTTCAAAGTAATTAGCTGCTATAATGTTTTGACTATTTAAAAATAGCAAAGAATACTTTTCCGAAATTCTATTGGTAAGGAGAAAGTCTGGAGGTTCTATTTTGACGATCCATGCACAAAATCTAAAGCGCAGGGCGTAAAAGCAATAAGGGTGCGTCAGAAAGAATTCACTTTTGCTATTTTAAGGACGGAAAAAACCACTTTGCCCCATGGCACATGGTCTAACAGGGTTGAGCTTATTCTCTTAATGAGTTAGAGGGGTGTTTTGAGAATAATCCAGTCAGAGTCTCATCTCCCATTCCCTTTAAGAGTCAGTTGTGCGCCATAGCGCATTTGCTATTTACATGATGGACTTCGTAAGTGGAAAAACTGAACACTTCACTAGAAAGAAAACAGTTAAACAGAGCATCTACAGCGCAAGAATGAGAGATGAGCCTCCTCATTCTTTACTTTCACTTTCACTCTCGTGGATAGGAAAATGTGTTGTACACACAGACATCCATTAGCCTACATAAATAATTTTGTTTGTTAAGCGCAAAGATTTGTTTCAAAACTATTTCTAAGTTCAGTTTTAATTTCCAGCAAACAAATAAATGAACAATAATAACAAAGTGTGGTCCAAATACACATGCTGTGCCCCATATGGTCTAAAACCTGACAGATGGACAAATCTAAGCTTGTTTTTAATAAAACAAATATAAATATGTATATAATAAATAAAAATACTACTACTAATAATAGCATTATACAAAAGCAAGTTATTATGAATAACCTGAAAAAAGCCTCCCTGAGAAGAAGGCATGTAAGTATGGTTTTTATATTTATGTAGGCTAGAAAAGAATATTTTTTTGTAATTTTTTAATTCTTTATAATTTTTAAAGATATTTACGTATTGCTGTACATCCTGTGTGTATTAAGCAGTGTGTAAGCGAGGCGCACAAATAACCCACTTTGCGCTAGACTATAGACCTGCTTTGATCTGGTCTACTGAACAGTGTATTTTAGTTCCTCAAAATAGCAACATGCCAGCAATGTGTCTCAACACGCCTTCCTTTTTAGACCAGAACGCCTATGGGTGCACATATGAGCGCAAATGCATTTGCTGTAACAGCTAAACGCTGTAAGAATAGAGCTGTAAAAATCTGTAAGGACTTAAACCATCCTGACAATTATCTATTCACTTTGCTTCCATCTAGAAAACGATTTTGTAGCTTGATGGCAAAAACTGTGAGACTTAGGAGGAGTTTCTTTCCCCAGGCCATCAGGCTACTAAATTCTAACCCGGTGTTACACATTACGTGATTTTTTTCGTATGTATCATTGTAGTAGTCATATTCATAAGTACATCAAATTGCTGCTATTCTTATTACCTTGTATAATTTTTTGCACATCTTTTTTTTTGCACGTTTTTTCTTTTTCTTCTTTTTCCTTAATATTTAATTTTTTGTTTATCTATACTTGCACTATCTCTGGAGCGGACCTGGGGCCTGTTTCAGAAAGGAGGTTAACTGAAAACTCAGAGTATTTTAACCCTGAAATGAGAGAAACTCTGGGTTTTCCGTTTCAAAATGGCAGGTTTGTTAAACTCGAGAAAGCAGGGTAAGTCAAGCCTGTTTCTGAAAGAGAGGTAACTTTAACTCAGAGTCAGTTACTGTGGTAACTTACTCTGTGAATCTAACCTGGTCAGAAGCAGGTTTTATTCTCTAAACTCAGAGTTTCTGTCTGTCTCCTCCCCTTTTTTAAAGATGAAGCGGCATTTCTCGCCTTAGCCTTACATTTCCACACACCTATTTTTATGCTCATTTTGGATACGTGCATAAAAACGATTGATAGAAATGTCATGATGCACATAACTTTTTAAAATATGCATTAAAAAAACGCGCATAACTGAGTAGGATAAACTTTTATTCGATAGAAAATGTGCGCATAAACTACGATGGAAACACTTTTACTGAACAAATTACAGTATGTACATTAAAAAAAAGATCATGATCATATGATAATGAAAATGTGTGTAAATGGACAAACCAGCAAGCTGAGCACACTGTAACATGTCTTAAATATTGTTTTAGTCATTCTAAAATGCCTTAACTGTTTCAGTATTAGTGTATATTATTATTACCTCCGAACGTCTGGTGCGTGTCAAGAGTCTCTGCGTCTCATGGCTTCAGACGCCCCCACGTGTTCATTGTGTTTCAGCATTGTCTTCTGACATCGAGGCGCAAGTACATTAATTAGGCTAAATAAAGAATTAGGCTAATTGACGCAGCTTCTTCTACCACAGTAAATTCTGTTTTTACTGTTGATATTTGGTGCCAGTTTAATCAGGAAGTGACGATTTTTTTCTCTTTGACTCGTTGGATGGAATTTTATTCGCATCTTTTATGCAATATGCCAGTTTTGCACATAAATTTATGTAATATATTTGGATGGAAACATAGCTATTGCCTACATTTTAGTCACACACAGAAGAACTGTACTAGAATGGCTTATCCTTTTTTAATAAATAATTAAATTAAATTCACCTTCGACATGCACTGTAACTAGATTAATGGGATTATTATTCTTTCTAAAAATTATTTTTAGTACTGCTTACCTTCTAAAAGTTATATTAACCTCTATCACTTGATCAATAAAAAAGGCAGACACACAAGTGCACTGTTAAATCATTTAAAACTAATGTATAAAAAAGTTTAGAAAAAAAATATAAACGTCACAAATTACATTACTTATTTTATTATACTTAAATATTTAAATACTTAAAAAGTGAAATTAGGCATTAACTTGAGCAGCTGTTTTCCCACGCTAACTGTCTCTTCTTCACTGATGGTTGTTTCTTTTCAAATATATACACACTCATATTTGCTATAACTTTGCATGAGAACATCAAGTTCAGCTGGAGAAAGAAATGGTGATCTCTTTTATAAGATATTCCCATAGTCACTCGTAATGTCTACGCTCCATTGATAATGCCTTTTTAAAGTCACGGTGTGCGCGCTTAACTCTGAGTTGGTCTACTCGAAGTTGATTGACCCAACTCAGATCAGCTGTTCTGAAACCGAAAACTCTGAGTTTTTAATCTCTCGGTAAATCAACTCAGAGTTCAAGTTTAAACTCTGAGTTGTTTGAACCTCCTTACTGAAACAGGCCCCTGACCTACATTTCACTGCTGGTCATACTTTGTATAACTATGTATGTGACAAATAAAACTTGACTTGACTTGATTTGCTATTTAAACAGCGTGGCTCAAAACATCAAAACGACTCTTGCGCCAAGCTGAAACTAGCAAACAACAACTGCGTCGCGCCTTGCACCTCATTGCGCCGGGTGTGTAATAGGGCCCTATATGTGTGAATATAAAAGCAACTTTACCTCAATCAATTTGTTTTATAAACAAATAAAACATTGTTTTTAGAAATGTAAAGCATTTACATGTACACATGAATTCCTTTATGGTTCCTTTTTGCAGAGTTGAAATCTAGACAAAGGATGGCAACTATGGCGACTCTCAAATATAAATTAGATTTGTGTAGTATTGCATTGACCAACCCATATAGTCCAAAAAGTAGTATATAAATCTATTAAGAATTTGCAATGTATACTTTTCTGGAATTATATAATTAAGGAGAAATTCTGAATATGCAAATATAAAAGCAAATTTACCGCAATTACATACTGCACACCATCACTGATTCTGTCTTAGCTTGTGTTATTATAAGTCACAAAACACTCAGCTGTAAAACTGGCCTTGATACAAAGCCCAATGGTTAATGAGTCAAATTTGAAGCTACTATATAACTGTTTAATTGTGTTACCACGAATTGGAATACTATTATTTTACATTTACAGGACTTTCTGTTTCAGCTGCAGTGATTTGAGCTAAGATGACAGATAACACTCTCACCCCTGGTGAGAATAAAAAAGATGTTATACAATAACTGAAGTAAAAAGTGAAACAAAAAATGCACATATAGGGTAGGAATACTGCAATATGCTGCATTATATCCGGCTATAAGGCGGACACGTTTAGCGCCCCTCACTGGATTTACCATCTGATGTCACATCCTGCTCTTTAATTCCTGTCTCTTTAACTTTATCAGCAAATACGCTTAAACAGAGTTTGAATAAATGAATTTAAAACGTACACAAAAACCCACATGGTATTCCTGTGAACCGTGCAGCTTAATATAAGCGGACAAAACTGTCAAAACAAAACACTGTATGAACTTACAAGTTAGCAAAAGGCAAAAAGCAGCAGGTAAACAACAGTGTAACCATCCAATGAAGCCAGCGTCTACACGATAACATTTCAGAATGTCACGTGAACAAACACAAAGGAAGAAGTATTATAAATGTAAACAGAGGATGTAAGGAATTACAGGTGACAGCTGACTGGGCCACTAGCCGCTAGCATGCTAACATTTCTAGTTAATCCCTCGAACCACAGAACGCTCTAGACACAATCATACAGCCCCACACTTTATCTCTTACCCGTTATCTTCCAGTCGAGATGCCTGAATACAAACAAAACTCAACACGAGCGCGGCTGGAGTTTAGTTTCTCAGAAAAGTGCAGGACACCGCGGCTGACACTTGTCCGCCATCTTGGCCGAGCGCGTCCTGCTTGGCGACGTGTACATGTGACGTAACCGATGGTTCCCGTTTGACCACGCCTCTTGTATGATATAAAATAAAACACTTCATGGTCAGTCTCCACAGTCGGCTTAGAAGTTGAACGTATTTTTTGTTGAAATGTAGTTTTTAAAAGTATTGTGGTCTTCTACGTTTAGTTTATTGCTGATTTTATAAATAAATAAACGCTCATCAAACTGGCCTACAGCTCAATGCCGCCCTCTCTTGATCTCAGTGTGTAATTGACACATAAACAAAATTGAGCAAGCGGTCCAAGGTTTATTGTCCAAAGTGGAGATTTTTGTAGTCATTCTCCTCAAATTTCTATAAAATTTTGAGGTTTTAATAAAGCATTCGTTACATTTTAAGCACTAATATTTGCTGCATTAGCTTGTCGGATGGTGATCATAACCATACTTTTTGATAAAGCAATTTTGTCATTGCTTACCATACTATTTTACCACAAAATGTTTATTTACAAATGTGCACTTACTGTAAGCTATTAGAGTATTATAAATAATGTTGTGTGATTAGAGCTTTTAATAAAAACAACATTTAAAAAAAATACTTATTTTTAAATTACACATGTATTATCATGCATCATTAAAGACAATTATAGAATCTGTTAAAACTATTTAAAAACCAACTAAAACTTATTAAAAACTGTAGCCTGTAGGTAAATGAATAACTCAAGAGGCCTGTTATCACTACAGTTTAATAATGTTGTAACTTTAAAAAAAATCTATCTTGCTGATTACATTAAAACCTTTAAGTTGCCAGAAAAATGTTATCAAGTTTTCACAACAGGAAAATATTAATAACTACATCAACTTAAAAAAATGCATGCTAACAAATACGTAAATATATATGTCAGTTTAAAATAATATTTAACTTGTAGCAAAGAAATTGGGTTGATAACTTAATTTTCCAAACTAATGGAGTTGTTTAGTATTTTTAAGTCCACACACTGATGTTTTTTATACTGTTTATATAGGACAGTACATGTTTTTGTTTTGTAAAACACTAAAAACTGTGGTTTAAAACAAAACAAAATGTTGTTAAGCGTATTTCTTACACTACAAAAAAAAAAATATTGTGAGCTAAAACAAAACATTTCTTGAGATTTTTTTTGAGAAATGTAATTGTCATATGTTCAATCTAGCCAAAAAGACAATGAATAAATGAATGATTTTCATTCTGAAATAAATATATTTGGGTGTCACGGTGCCTGAGTGGTTAGCACGGTCGCTTCACAGCAAGAAAGTTGCTGGTTTGAGTCCCGGCTGGACCGGTTGGCATTTCTGTAGTGTTTGCATGTTTTTCCCTGTGTTGGTGAGTTTACTCCAGGTGCTGAAGTGTGCTGGATAAATAAAAAACATTAGAAAACATGCCAATAAATAAAACATACAAAAACATAGAAAAAGCACACATATGATGCCAATTTGATAAAATAAACATGAAGTAAAACATTATTTAAATGAGTCACTTTTGTTATAATTATTATTATTATTATCATTAAACAATTATTCTGAAAATAAATTTCCTTCAAAAATAAATATACTGAATTAAGAGTTCACAGATAGAGGAAAAGACAAATGTAAAAAAATGTGCAGCATGGATAAAAAAAAAAAAAAACATTACAAAACATATTTTTTTATATAAAATAAGGGGTGGCACAATGGCTCAGTAGTTAGCACTGTCATCTCACAGAAAAGAATAAAGGCCGCTGGTTCAAGTCTCAGCTGGGCCAGTTGGCGTTTCCGGGTGCTCCGGTTTCCACAGTCCAAATACATGCACTATATGTGGATTAGGTCATCTAAATGGGTCGTAGTGTATGAGTATATGGGTGAATGAGTGTGTATGGGTGTTTCCCAGTATTGGATTGCAGCTGGAAGGGCATCCGCTGTGTAAATTATATGTCAAAATAGTTGGTAGTTCATTCCGCTGTGGCAACCACTGAAAAAGAGACTACTACTAACGTACTAAATAACCTAACATACTAATAACACTTGGTACAGTTGCCTTGAACCGTACCAAAGCGTGATTGTTCCCCTCCCCTCCTTTGACGGCCAGCACTCACGCTGCATTTGGCCTTCAGAACATTGCTCAGCACAGTGGAGATTACTTTAGTTATACTGTTTCAGTGGTTTGGGATGCAGTGACACGCAGTCAAACATTTTGCCGAACAGATCCACCACTTATTCCGCTCATAAATCCTCCTGCTGCAGTTATTAAGAGGTTTGCTGAAGGTGCAGCCAACGTGCACCTTCGTCTTTAATAAACTATGACAGTTCGTGTTCAGTGAAAAGTAAGATAAATATATCCATATGAAACAATCCCTCAAAAGACATGTCTCATCTTCAGTTTCGGGCTCAGGCACGCTTTGCACTCACACTACAAGCATACCACACCAAAGCCCACCTTAACCCGAACTCTTCCAACCGAGCCAGGGTCAGCCAACTGAAATGCGCCTGAGCTTAATTCAGAGCACTCACACTTGTCAAACGAACCGGGAAACGCGGCTGGGCACAGTTCGGATAGCATAGTGCGAGTGCACCCGAAGCCAAAGGAAAATGAATTAATGAATAAAATAAAAATCCCAAAACTGAGAGATAATGCACATATGAGAGCAAGTCAACTCAGAATCATACGCTTTTATTTTTGCATTGGTCTTTGATGGAGACACGTTTACAAAATGTATAAAACTAACAGAGGGCAAAGTGAACTAAAGTGAATGTACTCCGAATGAAAACACACAAGTAAACAAACACAACATCCTAAAGCTACAATAAATAATGAAGCAATAATGCAGGATTCTCCGAAGGGTTTTTTTTTTTCTTGCATAAAGAAGCACTCCTGATTATGGAAGTGTCTTAAATGACTCCCACACACACATACATACATCGAATGATATCTACTGTTTTGGTCCAGTAACTGATGCGTCAGCGGCATTACATTTGTACAGAAATCTCGTGTAAATTAGTGTATCTGACATGTTTCTGCAACCGTAGTTTGGTCACTGTATTGGGTCTGAATCAACTGTGAATGTTTATAAGAATGCCCAGCTATGGAAAAAAAAACACTTTACAATAAGATTCAATTAGTTCAACTAGGGGTGGGCAAACCCTGGAGGGCCGGCGTCCTGCATAGCTTAGCTCCATCTCTAATCAAAAACACCTGAACATGCCAATCAGTGTCTTCAAGATCGCTAGAAATCTATAAGCAGGTGTGTTTGATTACAGTTGGAGCTAAACTGTGCAGACCCTCCGGCCCTACAGGACCGAGTTTGCCCACCCCTGGTTTTTACCATTTCATTTATCATGAACAAACAATGAAAGACACATTTAAGCAACATATTTATTCTTCTTTGTTAATGTTAGGTTATGAAAATAAAGTTATTCATTGATAGTCATGTTAACTCATAGTGCAGAGGTGCCCAAACTCAGTCCTAGAGGGCCGATGTCCTGCATTGTTTAGCTCCAACTTCCTTTAACACACTTGATTAGCTCATTCAGGTGTATTTAACAGGGGTTAAAACTAAAATATGAAGGACACCGGTCCTCCAGGACAGAGTTCGGGCACCCTTGTCCTAGTGCATTCGTCTGAAACTTAATTCCTGGAGGGCCGAAGCTCTGTACAGTTTTGCTCCAACTCTAATCAAACACAGGTGATCCATCTAATGAAGTGTTCATGACTCTTTTGAACACCTTGATTATTTGGATCAGCTGTGTTTGATAGGGTTGGAGCAAAACTGTGCAGAGCTACGGCCCTAAAGGAATCCAGTTAAGTTTGTCAAACTCAGTTCCTGGAGGGTCACAGCTTTGCAGTTTAGTTCCAACCCTAAATAGCTTGTTTGAAATCTACAGGCAAGCGTATTAAAGCAGGTTGAAACAACTGTGCAAGGCTGCAGCCCTCCAGAAACTGAGTTTGACATTCCGGAACTAATCTAAACTAGCATGAATTTAGATTTTCAGTCAAGGAGGGCCGATGTGCTGAATAGTTTAGCTCCAACTTCCTTTACTACACCTGCCTGAAAGTTTCTAGTATACCTAGAAAGAGATGGAATAGCTGGGAATGGAACTAAAATATGCAGGACACCCCTTTTTGGGCACCCCTGTCCTAGTGCATGAACTAATCTAAACTAAAATAAATAAAGATTTAAATAACGCATCAGAAAATGATGAATATTAACTAACAAAACCTTATGGTAAAGTGTGACCGTTTTGATTAAAGTCTTTTTTTTTTGTTTTGTTTAAGTCTAATTTTTCTTTTATTTTGAAATCTACTGACGACATTTCTTTGAAATAACGGTATCATTTAGATTGCTTTACAATAAATAAAAAAATGGTGCAATTGTACATTTTTAATAATTTTCATCGTCATTTTAAAAACAATCCAATACTATTATTTTTTTTAACTTCAGAAGAGTAAAGAAATCAGCATTTGATCAATTAAACCAGGTTTTCAAACAAAATATGTTATTCTGAGCGACAATCTGACCAAAAAAATGCTCAAAATGACGATATTTTTATTTGAAATGTGAAAGAAATGCTGTCAGTAAAATAAAACAGATAATAAAGGGATAGTTTACTCAAAAATTAAATATGATGTCATTATTTACTCAACTCAAAGCTGAGTATCTTTCTTCTGTTAAACACAAAAGAAGATATTTTTTTCTGAGGAAAAACAGAACCATTGACTTCCACAGTATTTGTTTTTTCTTCTACCTTTCTTTTTTCTGTTGAACACTAAAGAAGATCTTTTGAAGAAAGCTCTAAACCTGTAACCATTCACTGCAACAGTATTTGTTTTTCCTACTATGGAGGTCAATGGTTACAGGTTTAGAGCTTTCTTCAAAATATCCTCTTTAGTGTTCAACAGAAGAAAGAAACTCTATTTATAACCACTGAATAAATGTACATTTTTGGCCTTTTACTAAACCTCATCCAATAAATCCAGAGAAACTTTGAATTTGTCAGATGGCCTCTTATTATTATTATTATGCTTTTTGTACAGCGTATGCATGTATGTGTATAGAGATCTGATTGCAAGCATTTAGTCTATATCAAGGTCGCTGTCTGAATCGTCGGGGTGTGTGACCGCGGCGTTGCGAATGGAGGAGTGTGTGTTGGGCTGTGCGTATTTCTCTGGCAGAAGGCCATATTCCTGCAGAAGCGCTTCCACGTCTGTGGCGTAGAAATCGTCTCCGAGCTGATCAGACACACGCACCAGATTTCCCACCAGATCTCCACCACGGTAAAGCAGAAGTGCGGGTAAAGCTGAACTGCGGAAGAGAGCGCTCGTGCCCACAGCCGAGCCGCGCACCCGGCAAAACTTCACCTGCAGGAGAACACACAGATATTAAAAACACTATAGAGTTAAACTAGAGCGGGTTTCCTCTAAGCCGAATGTCAGATTCACAGACTTTTCCATGACTTCATCAAAAGCTGATGATGACCGATCTCCCCCTTCCCGCACCCCCCCACCCAAAAAGGCCATTGTCTCATTCACTTCCACACATTTTTAGTCATAAAACAGCTTGTTTTGCTGCTTAATGTTAAAATAAACTGTATTATTAATAAACTGCTTGACATAAACGGCATTTTTCTTATATTATTTTAACGTGTTGTCAGAATCATGCTGAATGTTTGAAGTACAAGTAGTTAAAGTCTTGTTTTGCTACTTTAAATTGAATTCATATTTTCCTAATTGTAAAGAAGTAACCTCTGTGTGGTTTGTACTTTACTTTTTATCTGTTTATATGTATTGTAATTGCTTTGTTGCTATTGAAAAAACCCCCACAAAAAATAAGTATATTACAAATAAGTAGTTTGATTATGACTAGGCCCACACGGAATCTGTGCGGGCAGAATTCCAAAGATTTTTTAGCCCTTTGTTGATTGTTTATTTACTTGTGTAAATGTGTATACGTACATTTTATTCAGGTTTTAAATGCATTTCAGTAATATTATTGACTAATATGAAAATATTTATATGATTTATTTACAATATAGCTTGTAAAGTATTATTTTCTGTCTTTTAGTAGATATATTATAAGAGAGACTTGCTTTGTTTACCAAATAAAGTGGATCTAATTGGATTTGCATTGTGAACATTAAATACAAGTTAAAAAGCTATTAATTTTTATTTCCTATATTAAGGTTTTAGTTATGATACTCCCAAAATAATTCCACATAAATCCACAGATTTTTTACTAAATTCTAAGCAGAAATAGCAAAAATGTCTGCAGATTCCGTCTGGCCCTAGTTATGACAGACTTTCCGCTTGTTACGTTGTGATGTATGGAATACTGTTTCCGGGTCCAAGCCGCTACTAATTTGAATAGGACTAAAAAGTGGCCCTGAACCAATATTTTCTCTATCACACTTTAAAGTGAAATGTATATAAAATCATGCTGTACACAACAGTCTCTGGACTTGCTGCATTACAAATACCAAAATTGTAACAATTAAAAATCATCAAATGAATCACTTTCTGGCCATCAGATATTAGGCATGGACATCTACATTGCGATCATGACTTTTGAAAGTATTACAGCGCTTTGTAAATGTTTAAAATAAAACAAGAAAATGTCAATTTGCAACAAAAAAAGTTGTATTTTAGTTTCATGGGACCTTTGGAAAGTCTGAACTGAAGACATGTCTTTATGAGTTTTACCATCGGGTACTGCAGCGCCAGACAGAGCAGGCTGCCGTCCATGGCCTGGCAGGCGGGCACCTCAGGCTCATAGATGTGGACCAGCACCAGCGTGCTCTTTCCCTCCTCGTCGACGGCACGCAGAAACTCCTCTCCCGAAGAGATGTCCATCACCTTCTCAAATCGCCTGCCTCCACACAGCTGCCGCCGCATCTGCTCCATCCGCTGCAGACGATACTGCTGGAGGAACGCTTCATCATCGTCATCCTCCTCCTCTTCCTCATCCACGCGCAGGTTTAGCTGGAGATGTAGGAGAATTACATTTTTTGGATTTTATATGTGAGGAAATATTCAGGGTTAAAGGGATAGTTCACCCAAAAAACTCAAATGATTTATTATTTACTTTAATTGTTCCGTAACTTTATGAGATCTTTTTCCTGTTAAACACAAAAGACGATATTTAAAAAAAATGTTAGAAACCTGTAACCATTGACTTCCATAGTACGACAAACTAACAACATGCAAGTCAATGGTTACAGGTTTTTAGAATTTTTCAAAATAACTGATTTTGAGTTCAACAAAAAAAAGAAAAAAGAAAACAGGTTTGTGGAGCTTGAGTAAATGAGAGGGTTTGTAGTTTTTAATGAACTATCCTAAACTAAACTAAACCCTCAGAAATTGTGTTACTTTAATGCAAACTGCATTACACTAAACTAATATATTTATGGGAGTATTTAATTTTTCTGATTATCAAAATAAAAAAACAAATAATTCAATAATAATTAAAATATTATATCTATCTATCTATCCATCAGTCCTTCCGTCTGTCCATTTGTCAATCTATCTATCTATCTATCTATCTATCTATCTATCTATCTATCTATCTATCTATCTATCTATCTATCTATCTATCTATCTATCTATCTATCTATCTATCTATCTATCTATCTATCTATCTATCTATCTAATACACACAGTAAAAAGTCATATTGTAAGAGTTTGAGATTGTTTCTCACTTTGCCTGTGAGTTTATCCTGCAGCTCCTTCTGTTTCTGCTTGTCGGCTTCTTCCTCCAGATGGGATTTGCAGGTCATGCTGAGTTTCTTGATCAGTTTCTCCATCTCTTTCTGCTGCTCGATGCGCTGCTCGTTCTCCAGCTGCTTGTATTTGCGCCAGTCATTGATCACTCCCTTCGGCCCTGTGGGGAAAGTAATCAGATGTAGCGCTCAGCAGAGTTACTGTTTACACCTGCTATCATTTAAGTTACTGTAATATAATTCAATGAAAATAGCAATGTAAGGGATCACTCTTCATTTTTAGTATTTGTGAGCTTGTTTATGCAACTTTTTTCGAACCTCATGATTCAGTTTTCTATAGGAGAAATGACTAGGAATAATAAACGGCTAAAAACAGGGAAAACTACTCAGTGTTTCCCCTACCACTATATTCGGTGGCACTCCGTCCTCCCAACGGATCCCAACTTCTTTTAATAAATTAGCCAAATAGGCGTATGTAATATCTTATTTACACAGAGGCATGTGATTTCTGTCTCTACATGGTTGCGCGATTACAAATGTCTGCTCTCTGAATAGCGCACGGTGGAGTTCTACACAGCCACTCTCTGCTGTATGGGAATGAGAGCGCGCGCGCCACACCTGACAGGACCCAAGATGCCTGTGCCCTCCCATATATTATCCATAGCCTACAAGCAGCCACAACGGAGGTAAATGATGTGTGGGAGTGTAATTTGCTCGCGTCACAGCAGCTAAATGTAAATACAGCTATTGTATATTGCACTGTTTTGAGCTGATGCTACCTAGCATCTCATCCAACCTTTTGACCGCTCCTGGAAGCTCCGCAAGTCTCCCGCAAAGTTCTACCGTCCCTGTGATTCCCAATAATGAGTTTAAATACTCAGAAATCATAGGGCCAGGGGTAAATAAACAAGAAAACAGATCGCGAGAAGGACAGTGATGGACTAAGCTTTACATTTGTTAGGTTGAATAAATAGAGCAGTAAAGATATCACGAGTGCAAATCCTCTCTCCCTCATTGAGAGATCTGCTGTCAATAGTTGTAGACGAGCAAAATATCATTTAATCGGTAACACTTCATAATAAGGTTTTATTAATTAACGTTGATGTTAGTTATTGTACTTACTAAGATGAACAATTAACTAATGCTAACGAGAATGACTTTGGATTTTAATAATGCATTACAGGGCTCAAAATCAACTTTTTTATTTGGTAGCACCAGTGCTCTCAACTTCAAATATTTAGGAGCACCAAAAAATTTTTAGGAGCACCAGAAAAAATTTAGGAGCACCCACCAAAAATGAATGAGCACCGCTGCAAATTGTTTTTAAAGGATTTATTGTATTTTAAAACAACATTAATAGGACTGACAAAAACCAGAAACAACTATCTAACTAATGCTGCGATTTGTGTGCATTAATTCCAAAATGAATGTCTAATAATTAGGCCATAGAATATTAATGATGATAAAAAATGACAATAATAGTAATGAATTCCATTTCTCATTATGATACTGCCTTGAATGTGCATGAATGTAGGTTATCTGCTATTAAAAGTCTGTTCCTTTATGAAAAATAATTGTATAGTTTGCATCAAACAAAAATGAAGCATTGCAGTAAGAAATATTTGGCTGATTCCAGCGTTATGGACGTGACATTTGCAGTAAAAAAATGAAACGTATATTCTCAGAGAAGGTATGTGTTAACAGTATATTGAAATATATGTTTATATTTTTCTTACCCCTTAACCATGGAGTTCAGGCATCAAAAAAATATCAGTCTATGCAGGTGTTTTATATTTAAAATGACGGCAAAATGAATGCGTTACGGACGTGACAAAAAAAAGACATGAGTTTTGTGAGTTGACATACTTTGTGAAAATTCTGTGAATGAAAATGCAGAAGCCAAAAAAATATATAACAGTCAAAAGGATAAGGGTTGGCTCTGCATGGGACATATATAATTAATTTTATTTAGTTTTTCATTTTTGCATTAATGAGGAAAAACTATCGTTACGGACGTGACTTGTCTTCGTTACGGACGTGACTGCTCTGAAATTGACAGTTGACACATTATGAAAATCAGATAAATGCTTTCAAAACTTGACCAAAGACCTATTTGTGGATATCTGTTGGGTGTGTAAACCAATAAACTTTAACCTCTGAGACATCTGAATGGTAATGTTGCACAATTAATCAAACTTAAATAGATATCACCTTGTTATTTAATTCTTATTATGGCATGTGTGTTGTTAAAGGTTAACGCACGTTCGAATGTTCAAAACTCAATTCGGTAACAATGTTGCATGCTAACATGGTGCTTTTATACTCTGAATAATATAGAATTGATAATAAACATAATCAGCTATAATGGGCCTATGTTTAGCAGGCTCCTAAAGTTAGTGTTTCCAGACAAACTTGAATTAAATCATTGCCCGACTGTTGCGCAAGACCGTGTCTACGTGGAGAATATTTAAAATCTAGTTTTGTCACAGATATGGCAATATTATATTTGACAAAGTTTATTTTAGTTTTTTTCTAGTTAATGTGTTAGTTGATGGAATAAATAATTTAATTTCTCCACTCGCGCTTGCTTTCTTTTTCTCGTCGGCAGTCACTTCAGGACAGGTTGCAAAAAGTTCATACGCACCAGGGTGAGAGAGAAAACTTTAAAACTTAAGAAAGGTTTTGTGTAGGCTATGTTAAACAAGCATAGAAAAATAGTCATTGGTTGTAGGCATGTACGATGGATGACTATAATGTTTATATTTTTAGGCTATAGTTTATAACCGATTGTGTAAAATATTGAATTAAATATTTACAGCTGCAGGTCCTATCGATTTTCTAACAAATTTAATACTCATATAATGTAGTTAAAGCTTAGATCAATATCAAGATTTTATTCTTATTTTATTCTTATTCTTATTAAAATAATTTTAATAAGCACTCAAGCGCATTTGCCGGGTGCTGGAAATCTTTGAAAATGTTTCAATTTTAAATGTAGGCTATAGCCAATTTTCAAGCTTTGAAAGTGCTTAGATTTTGGATAAAGGGCTTGGAAAATGAATTGTGTCGCTTTGATAATTTATCTTTATAAATAGTTATTTAATTAATGAAATAAAAAACATATTTATGCTCTGCATGAAATGAAAACTCCGCTGTGGCCTGACCCGCGGCGTGCGCATTTTGAGCAGTGGGAAAAGACCAAATGCATGGAGGTTATTGATTATGCGCTTTGCGCGCCTCGCGTTTTGTCATTGCGCGCTTTGTGCGCTCCAAAAGAAAAGCATGTTACCTCAGTGGCGTCTTTCATTCTTCAATCAAACGAAAGCAGAGGCGGGGTTTCCTTGGAGGTGACAGCAGTGTCAAGATGACTACGGCGAACTTTTTAATGACGGAGAGACTTGTGGTCGCTGTTTTAAGTCATCCAAAGTTGTATGACTTTACAAATCTTGAATTTCATAATGTTATTTAAAAAATTTAATTATGTAAACATTGACAGCAACACTCGCGCACAATAGACCAGCTGATTCAGTTGTTATCTATAGTGACATTCAAAAGAGCACCGTGCTCCTTTTCTTTTTGTCAACATAAAATGCATTGCGGAGCGCCTGTCTCTGGAATGAAGAAGCGCGTTCGTTGTGATCGGCTTTTATGAGCAACACATATTTGTTAACTCGCATGACAGTAACACGTGCAAACACACGTGCTTACAGATATTTTTTTGCCAAAAAAGCAAAATGAAAGAAGGATATTCTGGCCAGTTTGACACAGGAGTTGACGAACCAGCGCTGATCCTGGTCGTCTGTGCTGCCTGGAGCCGCGTCATAAACTCAACTAGGCATATTCATGATTTAGTGCAGACTACTATCAACAAACCACCCTTTTTTCCATTTGGAAAATAACAGTTATTAATAGTTCTTATATACATTTTAAATAGCCTAATCTACAAATCAAACAAAGACAAATATTTTATAACTTCGCACCAAACTGATGCTTTCATTTTACAGCTTATAAAAACATGTATGCAAATTAATGCAGTATCACATGTAAATAACAAAATTGTTATATGCTTAGCCTATACTTTACAAAATGTATAGGTTCAAAGCCTTATGGTTCATTGTCATTATCTTTCACTATAGGCAGTGCGTGCGCACATGAACCGCAAGTAAGACGGAGGAAATAGGTTAAGTCATTATGGCCAATTATGGCAATATGTAAAATGTTGTTTTCTTATTAAACATTTATTTCTGAAATGTTACTAAAGTGGTTTATAGTTAAATGAAATGTTCAGTTCTTGATATAACATATGGATGTTATGTAATGTAAGTCAGTAATTGTAATGCAGCATCATAATGAACAAATATGCGCTAGTCATTGGCTTATATTAAAAGGAGTTCAAAAATGGTCACGTCCGTAACGCAAAATTGTGGTTGTTTAGAGCAAAGACCTGAGATGAGTTGGCGATCATAATTAGTATAAACATATATTGGCTTTGTATACAAAGTTTCATTTTATTTGTTATAATATTTATTCCACAATATAAACTTTTTCATTAAATCGTTACGGACGTGACCGAAGCTGCGTGATGTCTTAAATATGTAGCTCATAAATCAAAAGGGCAATAATGTTATGAAAAAGTAAGGATAATTATTTATACTACAGACTCCAATCCTTCTGCAGAATGATTACTGTTAACATAAAGCATGGAAAAGGTGAGTCTTTAACCCCTTTTTTGAAAGCACGAAAAGTGGTTGGATGATAATGAAAATTAGCATTGGCACAATCCTCATATTTCATGGATAAACAAAACAATTTCCTTAAAAATTCAACAAGAGCACATCATAACAATAAAATATAGACCTTAATAAGCAAATTGAAATAGGTTTTGTTATTTTGGTCAAAAGTTTATTTTTTCATGATAAGGTTGACATTTTCATGGAATTGCTCATTTATTTTGTACTGCGGTTTTTATATGCATGTCAATTTAATAAATAATATTTCTGCTACAAAACAAACAAAAGATTATAATAAATCATTCAATTCAATAATGAAAGCTGCAAAGCAGTTATCAGTAAATAAATAAAAAAATAATATACACCTCAAAAAAGAATAGACAAAAGAAAGTAAGTAAAGTCTCACTTCTATCACTCTTTAAAAGTTTTGGTTTCGGTTTGTGTCAATTTAAATGTTCAGTCTGAGCTGATCTTCATTTTTCTGTGTTAGTGGAAAAGCTGGCGAGTCAGCCGACCCAATTTATGAGCAGGCAGAGCAGGATTCTTGCGCTAACCATCGGCGCAATACCGGTCTTTGTTATGAGCCGCAGTTTCAGTGTGAACTTAGTAAAGGCGAGCTTCTTTGGCGATGATATGTACAGTATTAGATTTGACTTTTAGCGGACAGTTGCGCTGAACACGCAGTGAATGCAGCGCATGGAGATTCGGGCACCTTCTCCAAGAAGCGCGTACTCGATTGATCTCAGCTGGCGGATCATTATTCACCACGTGACGTGTCATGATCGCTTTCATCTGCGCCTCAACTTTAGGTGGGGTTTGCAAATCTGTGTGCTTTAAGTTTTTACTCTTCAGCCGTTTGCATTTCCTGTGGTCATAAAAGCTCCTTCCCTGTCACCTGACAGCGGAATACCTTGAGTGAATGACAGCTAATACGAACCAATATAGCGGCAGGGAAGAGCGATTCAGCACGTTTTTACAAAAAATCAAAACAGGTCGCACTACAACCATTATCTGCAGTCGCACTAATGCGGCCAAATATATTATAAGGTCGCATAGATAAATTTTCGGGCGCATATGCGACCAAAATAGTCGCAATTGAGCCCTGCATTAGTAAATGTTGAACTATGATTAAGAAATGTGCTGTACAAGTATTGTTCATTATTAGTAGGGATGGGTGGTATGAAGGTATATATCGTTACCACGGTATGAAATGTGTACCGTAAAAGTGCAAGAAAAAAGATGCTTCATATATAAAAATTTTTTGCTTTAAATTTCCTTAAAGTATTTACATATTTATATTTTCATATTTAAGTTTTCTTTTCCTGCTACTTACTTGGGATATATTTGATATCTGTGAGAAGATGTTACTTGAGAAATGTTTATAATATTAAGGTCCACATAAAAGTGTGAAATGTGACATATATAGCCTTTGTTGTTGATCTAACGTCATATTTTGTTTACTATATCAATAAGGTTAAAAATTTAATCGTAAATAATCAAATAAGACAAAGTCCTTTTCTTGTCTAAAATATTAAAGCATATTTATTATATGAAACCCTTTTGTACATTTTCTGGAATAATTATCTTTATAAAAAACTATATCACAAAAGATATTGTTACTGTGAAATAAAATTGATGTCTTACCGCTTAGCCATAATTTTAAGTTCATTTTATTAAATAAATAAATGAACATTAACTAATGAAACTTTAATGTAAAGTCTGACCAAAACTTTGATGTATCATGTTTATTCGTACCAGTGTTGACCGAACTGCCATCTGCGCTGTAGTCGAGCTCCACGTCCAGCACCTCCTGGTCACGGATGGTTTTGTGTGCGTTCTCGTCTTCCTCATGGTCGCTCTCTTCATCTTCACTGCTGCTGTAGTAATACTGCAGCTTCTCCCCTAGAATCTTATCATCCAGCGTCGTCATGATGCCACCCTGAGACACATTTTGGAGGGATAGTGATAGTACAATTTATACAAATTCATATTTTTATGAGTTTCATAAATCAAAACAAGCGTTTTTTTAGTTACACAGACCGCAAAACATGTAACTGGTTACTAGGGCTGGGCGATTTATCAAAAAGAAATCGAAATCGATATTCAGAACCTATAATAGATCTCATTTTTCCAAATCGATATTTTTCAATTACTTTTCCCACCACGTGTGGAGTCACGTGATCCCGCTCTGTTAAAGGCTGAGGCTAATTTTTACATCTGCGGCCACTTTGCACCCGCATCTGATCTCTGGTCAAGTATGGACCCATTCTTGAGCCTTACTTTGCACTACGCTGACGATGATTGGAAGCTGCACCAGAGATGCACAGAAATGACTAAAAATGACTAAAAGATGCCTTGAGGTGGCATATTTTCCATTACATTAATGTTATTATTTACATAAAAGTATTTGTTTACAGAAGATGCAAGAAATGCACTGTTAATGTTATACAGGAGTTATACTATTTAGAAGAGATACTGCTTAATTTCAACTTTAATTATGAAAAACACTGAAAATTATTTATTTTGCTTCCAAAAGTGCTAGTTATTTATTTTCAAATTTTTAATAAGAAAAGTTTGTTTTAGATAATGTCTGTTTTAATTTCAGTTGTTCAGCATTGATGTTAAATATTCATAAAAAAGTAGATAGTGTGTGTTTTCTTAAATTATTTTAAAATCCAGTAATGCACCCTTCATTCAGAAATCTCTCACTTGTAAAATGCAAGCCTAATTACTGTACAAGACTTAACAGCGAACTAAATTTAATAAAATGTATATATTTTTCTATTTCCGCATTTTAAATTAACTGCAATTGAAATAAAATATTGAATTAATCGAGATTTGGATTTAAGGCCAAATCGCCTATCCCTACTGGTCACCATTAGTAATTTAGGGGTGTCAAAATGAATAGTTTCTTCGGTGCACTGCGATGCAGACGCGGACAATTTGATATCGGTTCAGTAATAATCATAACCGGTTATTACTGACGTCATTTACCTCATATGCGCTCTGTCACGAGGGAGGCGATCGCGAGTATTTACAGCGCTCTAACTACTTAAAACTCATAAACTGTGCACAATTTCACTGTGTGTGTTTGCTGGATCAGTCTTTCAATGACATATACAACAATAGCCCCTATTTCACTGAGATTGAGAGAATGAAAGTAGCTTACTCCATTTCTCTCTCTCTCTTTCTCTCACACACACAGTGGCCCATTTGACCTGCTGGCGTGGCTTTTTCTTCTCTTCTCGACTGTTTTACAGCGTTACTTCTGGATACAGAAACGAGCGCGTGTCTGCAGAGTTTTCTCCACCGTGTCCATCATACATCAGCTGTGAGATCGCCACTGCCGCCTGCCGCTTATCAGTGTCACTCATCTGTGAAGAGCGCAGTGCGCAAGAGCCAATCGCAACCGTTTTTGTTGAGGGTGTGACCAATCAAAGGGGTGTAAGAAAACTAGACAGGGGATCAGAAATTGAGCTGGATATTTATATTTGTTTATATTATTTGCTAAATGCTCGTTTTGTTTAAAGTTACAGTTTATATATCTGACTGTTTGTATTAAATGACAAAATTGTATTACAAATAGTATGTAAATATAAATATATTCATACATTTTAATACAAGAAATGCTCCTGTGAAGAAAATATAAAACTGTGTATGGAAAGCACCGTCAATGCACCGTGATGCACCGAAATATCGAATTGAACCGAATCGATGGCATGATAATCGTAACCGAACCGAACCGTGAGACTAGTGTAGGTTCACAGCTCTATAGTAATTCCTTTTATTTCTTTTCATTTATAATCACTGAAATTTGCATTGCACGCTAATATATGATATAATGTATGATGATAATTTATTTGCCTACTTAATGAAGCTAAATAATAAAAAAAGTCTTCTTGAAAATATTATTTACTAATGCATTATGTAAAAAAATGGAAAAACTGTACAAAAGCACGCACATCTCTCTTAATTGGGTGCTCAGCCAAAACCGCAAAAAGTGCAAATTAAAAGTAAATCAAAGGCGGCAACACCCAGGCTCCAAAAATATTCAAAATATATTAAAATTTATAATACAAAAATACAATTTATTAAATGAAAAAGGCTGACACAGAGCGTGTAACGTTTCGAGCCACCCGGCTCTTCATCATTCTTAGATATCCAAGCTATAGACTATATGTGAATGTGTATACATGTATTCATGTGTATACATATATATGTATATATGAACGATTGTATATGTATACATATGCATGTATGTATATGTTGGCATATATGCGAGAGGAGATCGTGTAAAAAAGGAGCACCTGATTGTGATGAACATTGTCTGATGAAGAGCCGGGTGGCTCGAAACGTTACACGCTCTGTGTCAGCCTTTTTAATTTAATAAATTTGTATTTTTGGAGCCTTGGTGTTGCCGCCTTTGATTTACATCTAATGCATTATGTAAACAGCAAACAATTGCATTTATCCACAGTCTTTATTTATATAGTTTAATACTTATAAGAAAATGCATGCATTAAAAAAATTATAAATAAACAAATAAGCAATATGTAATGAGGAAACAAATAACCAATAGATTTGTTCTACTTGATTAAATCATAACCTACCCTCACCCTTACTGTATATAAACAACTATACATTTATATATAAACAATAACTGATCCAACTAAAATTCACTATAATTCAAAATATTTAAAACTTGCTGATGAATGGAAAAAAACCATAGTGGTTTGGAAGAAAGTGGCAAACTATACAGATTTTAAAAGATGCTTTCACCCACGAGGGGCATGGGCGGGACTGTGACTTGCACCTTGCATGGCTGCTGGTGATGGACCAGTTGGCTGCCCGCACTCATCTGATTGTTTCCATTTCCCCTGTTCCCATCCCCTGTGTCAATATAGGGCTATTTTTCTCCCTTTTCTCACTTTGCCCTAATCAAAGGCAAGCTGAGGGGGTGTTTTTTTGCCTAACTGTCCAGATGTATCTTACTTCGTTTCTGAATGCGACCTCCTGTGACCTGTCTCCCCTGAAAATTGTGATGTTTGTGTATGGTCAGGGGGGTTCAATTTCACTATACTAAAAGTGAATGTGACAAATAAAGGCCTGATTTGATTTGAAATGACAACTAACAAGTATTTTTGGGCTCTATACTGAGATCCTTAAAAATCTTTAACATCTTTTAATAATAATTCTTCTAAGCATGACAACACACCCTAACATATGGAAGAAAATAATTATAACAGTACATATTTTACTTTATTTTAATATAATATCACTAAAATTATACCCAGGTAGTGGGTAAAAAAAGTAATCCTTTATTTAATAAAAAGAAATCGTAAAGTACTAATGTGTGTATTAGGGCTGGGCCGATAAACAATATTATATCGAATCGCAATAAAATGTATGTCAATAACAATGATAAGCTCTGGACTTTTTAAATGTATATTGATCTAAGAGCCAATCACACAGCAGAAATGTGCAACAATGAGAATCTAAAAGTGTGTTGATATCAGAGATTTTTTGGCCACTAAAAATGTATCGACTGAAAATAGGTTGTGCCATTTAATGGACCAAATGATTTTTGTGGCTTCTGTCATTGTTGGGATACTCTATTAAATCTGGAGGCATTAATAACTTATATCGAAATATATATCGTTAAAGTTCAATATGGAAAATTATTATGGAGATTGCATTTTTGCCATATGGCCCAGCCCTAGTGTTAATTAATACTAGTATTGTTTTTGGATTGATTCATATTATATTTGTATTTACCATTGCTCCTCCCATCCTTTTAGTCTTATTTTTATAATCTGGATCATTTAAACATCCACAAAACTACACAAATCATACACTAACACATCTTTTTTTTGCTACCCACAATGTGTTGGTTGTTCCCTCATGAAACGCAAATCTAGTTCAAAACACCTCATGAGGAAATAGACTGGGGCAGCTGAGAAATCCTATTAGCCCTTACTCCCACTGGAGCTGATCTCTACGAGTAATAGCTAAAAAAAAATGGATGTTACAAATTCTATTTTGAGCATATAACACTTCATAGTGGATACATACAATTTTATATTGTATATTTTAAGAAATACTTATAGATTTAACCCGACATAAAAGTAAACAGATACTAGCTAACCTGTCAAACCCTACATGCTATCGTGCTATATGCATCATATACTGTTAAAAATGTACTATAATGCCTAAATGAAGATAATGTAGTGTTCATTTGTATAATCTGATCCGTAAAACCGACATCAAATAAAATAAATAGGAGATTAGCGAAGTGAGATTGTTAGCATGCTAACGTTATTTTATAATGCTAGCACACTAGCTTCTCGGTTAACGCAGAAAAACACGTCACCCCTAACAAAACATGATATATTCATTATAAATAAGTAATATTTATTTATTTTAAAGTATTTATAATATGGTGATCCGCGTGAATCTTACCTATACAGGACTCCTTTGTCGCCGTTAATCCCTCAAACAGTCACTTCAGATTCTACAGCACAATAACGCGGTCTGGCCAATCATGGTGACGAATAGATGACTGACAGGATTATACACCAATGAGAGCTCGAAACGATTGACAGAAGGCGTTTCAAATTTTTTTCAACACATCAAACGCGGAAAGGGTCGTGCATAGAGTTTATTATCTGCATTTTACAGTTCTAACGCAAAATTATAACTTATAATTAATATATGTACTGTAATTCAATGCAATTAATTTAATTTAACAGATACCATTAACAGTGTCACATCCTAATGTTACAGAAATTAAAGGACAGGATGTAGCATGCAGCATGAAGCCACGTTAAACAACATTTTTTCCTTATTTTGGACAGTTAAACATAGTGTTTGGGACATTTTATATGCTGCAAAATAGTTGCAGGATGACACTGTATGTCTGTAACAAAATATAAAACATTCAAAGTATTTTAAATAGCCACTTAAGAGCTAAAATGTGCTGTCCATGTATGTGGCCACTAAGCTCCAGGAGGTTAAATGCAACCAAGAGCCTTTATGTTTGTATACTTGTTTGTATGTATGTATGTATGTATGTATGTATGTATGTATGTATGTATGTATAAACAGTTGAAGTCAGAATTATTAGTCCCCCTGAATAGTTAGCCCCCCTATTTATTTTTCCCCTAGTTTTCTGTTTAACGGAGAGAAGATTTTTTTTCAGCACATTTCTAAACATAATAGTTTTAATAACTCATCTCTAATAACTGATTTATTTTATCTTTGCCATGATGACAGTAAATATTATTTTACTAGATGTTTTTCAAGACACTTCTATACAGCTTAAAGTGACATTTAAAAGCTTAACTAGGTTAATTAGGTACACTAGGCAGGTCAGGGTAATTAGGCAAGTCATTGTATAACGATGGTTTGTTCTGTAGTCTATTGAGAAAAAAATATATAGCCTAAAGTTTCTAATAATTTTGTCCTTAAAATAGTGTTTAAAAAATTTGAAACTGCTTTTATTCTAGTCGAAATAAAACAAATAAAACTTTCTCCAGAAGAAAAAATATTATCAGACATACTGTGAAAATTTCCTTGCTCTGTTAAACATCATTTGGGAAATGTTTAAAAAAAAGAGAGAAAAATTCAAAGGGGGGCCAATAATTCTGACTTCAACTGTGTGTATGTATATATGTATGTGTGTTTGTTTGTATGAATATAAATATGAAATAGTAAAATAAAAAAATATGACATTTATACTTAAGAAACAGTTTGCAACTTTTTTAAATAAGCATCACAATCAGCCAAAAACATCCTCTTGAATGGTCATTTCTTTAAAGTAACAAAAACATAATTTCTTACCATTTCTGCAATATGTGTATCAAAACCATAGATATTTACATTAGATGTCGCATACATTGTTGTTGTCAATTGGAAGGAATGCGTCAATAGAGCCGCCATTTTAGTACAGGGTAGCGCTCATTTGAAATGAATGCAGAACCAAGGTGCAGTGGAGGACTGGCCATCCAGCCAGGGATATATACATACATATATATATATATATATATATATATATATATATATACATATACATATACATATATATATATATATATATATATATATATATATATATATATATATATATATATATATACATATACATATATATATATACATATACATATATATATATACATATACATATATATATATATATATATATACATATACATATATATATATATATATATATATATATATATATATACATATACATATATATATACATATACACATATATATATACATATACATATATATATATACATATACATATATATATATATACATATACATATATATATATACATATATATATATATATACACACACACACACACACATATATAAATATATATATATATATATATATATATATATATATATATATGATCTGGAGTTTTCTCAGTGGTCAGTTTGCAAATATTTTTTAAAGGGGTGGTCCACTACAATATAATATTTTAAACTTTAGTTGATGTGAAATGTAGCTGTGTGAAATAAACAACATCTCTGAATGTAAATTGCTCATAGTTCAATGCAAAGGGAGACCTTGACTTTCCCATGCGTTTTACATCTCAGACATTAAAGTCGCAAAAGATAAGTAAACGATTCATGTTACTTACACAAGCATGTTTCAAATATGCGTGAAAGATGTCCTGTTACGCGTTGATTAAATAAAAAATACAGCATTGTTCTCCCAACTGGTGTGTAACAGCAAGAACAAATCAATCCAGGCTCACACAGGTCTCATCCCACATCTTGTGCTTTACCAGCTTCACCACAGAAAATAACTTAATTTGAGCATGGGAGAAAAAGAACAATAAATATCTCTCCCGCGCACATGCGCTTCTCTTGTTACAGAAAGTTCATAGTACACACACACACACACAAACACACACAATGGCACACTAACACTCTTAAAGGGGCCGCATCCAATTTTCATTCGTTACAGACATATGTTGACTGACTGTTTACACAAAACGCACGTGCTTGTCCGGGCATGACGTGGAGCCGATCTGCGAACCACAGCACATTATGACGATGACCGATCAGAGCCTTTCAGAGGAACTAGGAAATATGACAGTCGTTTTCATGTTAGCTGAGTAGCTGTGTATAATCAATGTGAGATATATGAAACAATAACATGATTTCCTTCAAGTGAAACATGAGCACACATTGCTTTGCATCTTATTAACACAACCAAGGCTTAAAATTACATTCTGGACCACCCCTTTAAATTAAAAGTTTTCTAGGGCAAGTCTAGAATGTGTGCATTAAAGTACCCTCAGCGGCCTGGCATCTATTACACAAAGAACTAACACCAGGAAACATGTGAGCTCATTTAACTTTACATATATGAGCTCCGTGTACTATTTTAAACTGAAGAAGAGAATGTCGAGCACAAACGGATGATGAGTAGGGATGTAACGGTATCAGAATTTCACGGTACGGTAATACCTCGGTATGAATGTCACGGTACGGTATTTATTGAATCATTTACAGGAAAAAAAAAACTTTTGAAAATACTCCAAAAAAGTGCCAAAAGTGTCAATGACATACAAATTAGTCATCTATCTGTTAGCTTTGAAACAGGAACTTCAATTTTAATAACAAAAAATTATTAAACCATGTAAAAAAAATAAAGTTTCAATTTAGTATTGTTGAAAACTCGTCACATTCAACATTTAATCACTCACTTAGATAGAGATGGGTTTAAAGGAAAATTATCATATAATTATAATCTGGTAAAAGCTGGGATCTCTGGGTATTTACAATGTCCCCTGCAACAGAAAAAAAAACCTCTCATTTGGGACTGAGGTTTCTGGGACAAGAGAGATATGACTTGGCCCAGGTTGACAGCAGTGGGGTAACGTTGTGCATTGTCTTTCCCCCACTTGAGAAGACAAACCATGAGTGAGATAGAGGTCTCTTTGCGGTACAAGTCAATGTCTGCATCAATCTGAACAGTGTGCTGTGTTTCTGCAGTCCCCATGACTGTTATTAGTCGTATTCCCCAACTTGCAGGCACGTGCACACATAGGGCTCAACCTGTGCAGTGCACATGCCCTTTTTAGTCTTGGATAGAAAATGCCCTTCCAAAACGATCAAAAGTGCCCCCGCGACGCGACACAACCTCCGTCCAGCCCTTCAGTAGGCGCGCGACAACACCTCTCTTGAGTATGCGCGCTCAACCCCCCCTCGGCGCTTTACAATACGCGCGCCACAACACAGCTGATCAGAACGCGCGCGACAGCACCGCTATTCAGCACGCGCGCGGCGACAACACCCGCTTTAGGTTCCATCATTTCCATCTTTTTTTCATCTCCGCTACTAGCAGCACACTCCATTTCCGCATTACTGGATCTGTAGCGACAACAGACTGCAAAGGATTATGGCCACGCCGGGGCTGATGGGAAATGAAGTTTCAGCTACCTCCCGTTTGCTTCATTCGCCTGAGCAAATTTTCTCAGAAGACCTATAGTTTTACCGAGTCATGCGACTTCGGTAATATCGAAAAAATTTAATATTGCGGTATGACGGTATTTACAATACCGTTACATCCCTAATGATGAGTGAATCTTACTGAGAACACCATTCCACATATCATCTGAAAGTGGACTACCAAGGCCCGTCTTCCCAGGCTTTCTTAGGGTGCTTTCACACCTACACTTTTGTTTCGGAACGTGTCTCGTTTGCCCAGTTAGCGCGGATCGTTTGGCATATGTGAACAGGGTAATCGTGCTCTGTTCCGCGCCAAAATAATCGCTCTGAAATCGCTTGAATGAGGTGGTCTCGGCTCGATTGAAACGAACCCTGGAGCGGTTCGATTGCAGTGAGAAAGCGATCCGATCGCGGTTATATCAGTGTTTTATGGATATGTAATAGGCTTACGGCTATATGAAGAGAGAATTATGAGTATGGCAGGAAGTTTCACGAGTCTCCGGATGCCCGCAAACGAGTGATGATCTCCCGGTAATCTCGCGTCTCCCTACCGGTTCTCAAATAGGCATCGTCACGCACCCTTCTCACCCCACCCCACCGCATCTCTCCTCAGACATATCGCGCGCACACCCTGTCAATCACCACCAAACCACCACCTCTCCTGACAGCTGAGCGGGACGCTGCAAAATAAACCCTGACACTCGGACCAATGTGAAGAGAGTTTACTCGCACATGACTTGTTTTAGCTCTTTTGGTCCGATTAGAAACTTTGCAGTGTAAAAGTGAACTGCTCCAAGAGCAAAGAGCAACAATGTAACAATTGTAATCTCTGTTTCGGAACAACTGAATTGATTCACATGTGTGAAAGCTCCCAAAATGTTATCTATGAGGGAAGATGTCTGATTTTTTTTATCAAATTATAAATAACAGAAATGGTCATCTAGAATGTTAAGTGTAACGTATCTAATGGATTATCAGGGGTTGGAAAATCTAGCATAAGTGATTTAACATAATTTCTTGCAAAAAAAATAAATAAATCTGTCTTGCTGAGAGAAAATAAT